TAGTCCTAGAGTCAATGAAAGAGCTAGTGCTCCCTTTGAGTTAGTTCACTCCGATGTTTGGGGTCCGTGTCTTATTGTGTCTAAAGCTGAGTTTAAATATTTTGTTAACTTTTGTTGACGATTATTCTCGAACGACGTGGTTATTTTTAATGAAAAATTGTTCAGAACTGTTCTCTCATTTTACAGCTTTTTGTGCCGAAATTAAAACTCAATTTAATGTTCCTATACAAACATTGAGGAGTGATAACGCTAAGAAATATTTGTCAACATACTTCCATAACTATATGGTTCAACATGACATTATTCATCAAGCTTCTTGTGTAGATACCCCATCTCATAATGGAGTTGCGGAACGAAAAAATAGACATCTTCTTGAAATTGTCAGAGCTTTGTTATTTCAAATGCAGGTCCCTAAACATTTTTGGGCTGATGCCGTTTTTACCGCCTGTTTTCTGATTAATCGTATGCCTCCTCCGTTCTATCTAGTGAGGCTCCCTTTTGTACTATTTTTCCTCATAAGTTCTTATTTCCTATTGCCCCTAGGATATTTGGGTGTATTTGTTTTGTTCGGGATGTTCGACCTCATGTTACAAAACTTGATCCCAAATCTCTAAAGTGCATCTTTCTTGCTTATGCCCGTGTGCAAAAAGGGTATCGATGTTACTGTCCCAATCTTAACCCGTACCTTGGTGTCTGCTGATGTTACATTTCTAGAACAAACACCATTTGCTTCATCTTCAGGTTTTATCAGTCTGTGGGATGATGATGATTTATTAATATATACTTTTACATTTCCTAGTTCTGATCTTCCTTCCTCTGCTCCTATTAAGCCTCCTATAAACCAGGTTTACTCTCGCCGTCAAAAACCTGCTGCTCCTGATCCGGTTCCTGTTCCCCCACCCCTTGCCTCATGTCCTGCACCAGGTCCTTCGTCATCAGATCCAGTTCCCAGTTCAAGTGATGATCTTCCTATTGCACTTCGCAAAAGTAAACGTCAATGTACTTATCCAATATATTTTCTTATGTCATATGACCATTTATCACCATCCTCTTGTTCGTTTATTACATCTATTGATTCTGTCACTATTCCTAAGACTGTTCATGATGCCCTATCTCATCTTGGATGGTGTAATGCTATGATTGAGGAGATGAATGCTTTAGATGACAATGGTACTTGGACCCTGGTACACTTACCTACAGGTAAAAAGGCTATTGGATGTAAATGGGTGTTTGCAGTTAAAGTCAATCCTGATGGGACTGTTGCTCGATTAAAAGTTCGACTTGTTGCTAAGGGATATGCTCAAACATATTGGGTTGATTACTCTAACACCTTTTCTCCTGTTGCTAAACTTACATCGGTCAGGTTATTTATTTCTATGGTAGCCACATATAATTGGCATCTGCATCAGTTAGACATTAAGAATGCATTCCTTCATGGTGATCTTAGGAGAAAGTCTATATGGAGCAACCTCCTGGTTTTGTTGCTCAGGGGGAGTTTGGGCGAGTTTGTCGTCTTCGAAAATCTCTCTATGGTTTGAAACAGAATCCTCGTGCTTGGTTTGGAAAATTTAGCCGTCGAAAAGTTTGGTATGATGAAAAGCAAGTCTGACCATTCTGTGTTCTACAAACAATCATCAGTTGGTATCATTCTTTTAATTGTGTATGTGGATGACATTGTTTTTACTGGAAGTGACACTTCTGGAATCTCATCGCTTAAGTCTTTCCTTCATACTCAGTTTCACACGAATGACTTAGGGATGCTAAAATATTTCTTGGGTGTTGAAGTCACAAGGAGTAATAAAGGTATTTTCTTATCTCAGAGAAAATATGTCATTGACTTGTTTGCTGATACAGGAAAATTGGGGGCAAAGCCTTGTAGTACTCCAATAACTCCAAACATGCACCTTACAGGAGATGGAGAACAAATTAAAGATCTTGAGAGATATAGAAAGTTGGTTGGAAAGCTGAATTATCTTACGGTGACTCGTCCAAAAATTGCATATTCGGTCAGTGTTGTTAGTCAGTTTATGTCATCCCCAATGGTTCATCATTGGGCAGCGTTAGAACAAATTTTGTGCTACTTGAAAGGAGCATCCATACGAGGTATCTTGTATGCAAATCATGGGCACACTCATATTGAATGTTTTTCAGATGCAGATTGGGCAGGTTCCAAAGTGGATAGAAGATTCACATCAGGTTATTGTGTTTTTGTTGGAGGAAATTTGGTCTCATGGAAGAGTAAGAAACAGAACGTTGTGTCAAGATCGAGTGCAGAGGCAGAATATAGGGCTATGGCACAGTCTGTGTGTAAGATAATGTGGATATGTCAGCTTTTGACTGAAATAGGTCTTAAAATTTCAGTACCAGCAAAAGTGTGGTGTAATAGCCAAGTTACACTTCATATTGCATCTAATCCAGTCTTTCATGAACGAACAAAACACATTGAGATTGATTGTCATTTCGTTCGTAAGAAGATTCAGCAAGGTTTAATTTCTATAGGGTATGTGAAGATTGGAGACCAATTAAGGGATATCTTCACGAAAGCTCTAAATGTGGTTCGGATTAATTATCTTTGTAACAAGTTGGGCATGATTAATATCTATGCTCCAACTTGAGAGAGAGTGTTACAGACTAGAATTAAATATATGTGACCCTAATTGATAGTATCTCATTTATAGGGACTTGTCCTATAAATAATACAAATAACTTGTATATATGTAAACATTAGGGATTTAATGAAATATGAGAAATAGAACCTCTCTCTTCGTTCGTTTCACAATATTAAAGTTACACAACCACATAACTCAGTTAAGAAAAAGTTTCTAAAATTATCTTATCACGGCTATTCAAATTCCTTAATAAAACAAGATAGTGCCAGACGCTTTTGCAAGCTGGTTACCTAAAAAAAAAAAAAAGATTGGGACTATATCTCCCTTCCACGTTGAGAGTACATAGATGGAGACGAATAAGATTATAATTGTAAAAAGTAGTGCGTAAGTGAAGATTTCATAATATTTTTTTAGGTAATTCTCGACTCTTTTTGGGGTGTATTTACAGGTATAATTTTCGTCCATGTTCTAACTGTTCTCATCCACGCACCTAGCAGGTTTCTCCATGGCTTTGAGGGCCTTGAGATACACCCGAGCATCTTTGTTTTGAGAGCATAACCTTCGTTTAGATGTTGAGTGAGTCTAGATCGACCACCCTCAGGTGTGGTCAATCGACCCCTAATGGAGGTGGATAGTCGAATGCCTTCATGAAGTGACATTTCTTGAATTTATTCAATTTGACTCTTCATTTTATTTCGATTTAATATCACTAGGCATGTTTTTAAGATTTTGATTGCACGAGTATTGGGGGTGTTCTAGTCGGATTGCAATAGAACCAACTAATTGGTGGTGTGGTCGATGGATCCCTTATGATTGTGATCGTTTGATGCCACCCAGTGATTTGCCTAGCATTAACTTGAATGCCTGACATCAAGTGTTTCACGTACCCAATGAACCCAAATCCTAGGACTCAGTATTCCAATTTGCAATTGTTTATTCTCATCTATGTCTATGTTCCCGAGAACGAAGGATAGAATCAAAAAAGAAAGAGATTTAGGATCCTGGAAATGCAAAAGTAGGTCAATGGCACATGCAAATTTAACGATTTTATTGATGAAAACGTGGGCTGCGACGAAGTTGCAGCTAAAACAAAAGCTTGAGCAGCTTAGTGCCAAAAATAAAAGGATCGGGGACTATCTTTCACGTGATTCCAAAGGTTGGGATGACGCTTGCAAATTACCCTTTAAAATAATATGTAGTTAAAAAAATTACAAAAAAATAAATAAATTAACGTAAATAAGTAATTTGAGAGTGAAGTCTAAGTTGCAAAAGAATGCACGTTTAAGATGAGCAACGAAAGATGCAAAATTAGTCGATTCGAATATAATAAATTAAGGGAATCATATACGTATAATATAAAGTGAATAATGTATATCACATGTTTTTAAAATAAATCCTCTAAGACCATCTCCTATGATACACTAATTTTAGTGTAAAATACTAACCAAATTTAGTGTAATTTGTTTTTTCTTATTTTGCCCTCATGTTCTATTACAACAAATTTTTATTCCTTCTATATCTTTTTTATCCTTCTAGAATTAATTGATTTGAATTTATTTATAATTGTTTCGATGAGATGGTTATATTTATTTAACATTTCTTTTTAAATTTTAATCAAGTAACAATTAGCACAACAGCAACATAAATGTCTTAAAAACATAAATTAAAGTACAATACACCATTAAACTAAAACAATAATTTAGTTAATGAATTTATAAATAAATGCAATATTTTCGTTCATTAAATATATTTATTAATTTAACGATTTTAGTAATATTATAATTTTTGATTAAAGAATTTAAAATAAATTAATTGTTGAGAAATAAATAATAAGGAAATATAGGAAAAACTACTCATTTGGAGTAAAATTTGGTATAATCATTGAAGAGGTTACACCAAATTGCACCAAATTTGTTCCTTTAATTGGTGCAAAATGACGTACCAAAGATGGGAAATATATGGAAAATTTCATATGTGGTCACTGAACTTTAAGTGAATTTCAATTGGCAGACTATAATTTGTCTTAATTTGACTGTTAATTTTATTTTAATCTGAAACAAATCCATCACCCGAAGACCAAATTGCTTAGTTGACCAGCAAATTGTAACTAATCTTTTAGTTAATTGTTGCATAGCATACTACACTATTATCGCACCACATCAATGAAGTGTTAAAGTGGGAAAAAAAAAAACGAAGAAGAAGAAGATGAAAAAAAGACAGTTTATAACGCATTTACCACGATACGAAGTTCACTTTGTAACTTGTCCCTAATACCAAGTTATCATATCACAAACTTCATTGTTAATTGTTAAGTTGGTAAAGTCACATAGTGAATAAGAATTTCTCATTTGCTTTAGTTAAAAACTGCAAATAAAAATCATTATGGTATTTTCACATGATGGAGCATTGTGGGCTGGGTTCTTCCCACCGGGTCATAGGTATGACTTGAATTCTCTCACAAATGGGGCAGGTGAAGGGTGTGTGTATGTGGGCCTGAGCTTTTTCTTCTGGCTTCTTTTCATTGGGCTTTTCCTCTTCAGCTTTTTTCGGCCCATCTTGTTTCTGTGGGGCTGGATGTGGCCCAATACTGACTACTTCAACATATTTTCCTGCTTTTCTTGTTTTCACTATTATCTCATATGGGTCTGCTTCACCTGTTACTGTCAATGTTCCCTTTGCACCATCCACTTCGACTTTGTCAATGCCTAACGAGGATCATTCCAAATTTAAGATAATATTAATGAAAATAAAATGAACAAGGGTCGACGTAATATATATACACGTAGTATTTTGTTAATGCTTCATCGTAATTTCGTGAAAAATTAAAGTGGAAAATGTTGGAGAAATTTCCATTTTTTTTTGTCTTTCCTTTCTAACAAAACTACGAAATTTTAAGAAACTTGAACATATTGTTAACTAATAGCATATAAATGGACAGTCATGTTTGGCTAACCTTAAAAATAAAATAAAATAAAATTTCAATAAATTGGCCGAATTTTTTTTAATTAAATGTAAAACTTTGAAATCAGCCAACATGTTCATACTATTATGTTATTGTTGGATTTAATTTCTTACGTGGGCTACATAGTTTAAATACAATTATATTGGGCTATCTAAATTCATGGGCCGATCAAGTGATCTAATTATTGGGCCCTAGAAACATCTAATTGGTATGGGTTTTGCAATGTGTAGAGACCGGGCTGTAGTTCAATTAGGGTTGATGGAAACCTAATTGACTAGTATATAAGGACGTGTTATGTGGTTATGGTCTCCAAGCCAAATCATAATATTGTTTCTGGATTCTCTACTGTATCCAACTCAGAGTGAAATCAATTGACCGCTAAGGACATTTGGTTGTGGAAGATCAAACCATGTTGCAGACAAAGCCAATGGATTCAGGTAATTTTCATTTTACTTGTTTAACTGTGCATTTCCTCCGTCTTATCCTTTGTAATAAATTGTAAAGAAAAATGTTTAATTTTATTAGTGTTCTATTTAAATGACGAATCTAAAATTCTTATATTATATTCTATTTCAATACTTAAAAAGCGTCATTAATCATTGTAGAAAAAAAAAAAAAATCAATCTTTTGAATAAATTTTAGTTTTTTCTTAACTATCCTTTTTATACTTTGGATATACATCATTGTATTAGGCTGTAAGTCTAAAATAAAAGTAAATATCTAACGGGGTTCCATCATAATTATAGTCTATAAATAATTTTTTTACCCAAATTTCGTTCAAATTTATTATTTCTACGGAAACAATTGTTTTGTGTAGTGTAGCTGTGCATAATTGTACAATATAATTAGAGATGGCAAAATATTGCATCTTTATATATCACCTTGCTTCGCATGGCCTCTTTAAAAGTTCAGATAATTATAACAATACGAACTTTATAAATTTAGTAGGTTGAATTGAATATGTATTCAATAGTTTAAGAATGAGTTACATATACGAATAGAATATTATCATATACCTTATCTAGTTCTAACAAATTTAACTTGGTTAATTTGCCAATATCTTAAAAACTAAGTTTGATATAAAAGCAAGATTGGAGATACCTTGTAATCCCGACACCGCTTTGAGGAGCTTCTTCTTGCATTTTTCACATGATATATCAACCTTCAAAACAGTCTTTTGTACCATCGCAATAACCCTAAATTTTCTTCTATCTCTTTGATACAAATCTCAATATGGATAAAATGAGTTATATAATGGCGGTCTAAAGTAACAAAAACCGAAAAGATCTTTGGGTTGTTCACCCCTTCCATTTGTCTTCTTTAATTTGGACAAATCATGACATTAATTTAATCAACCTGAGATTTTATATTGTACCTTTGTTTCGACTTGAATGTCTTTTGTAATTGTTGCTGACTGCAATTCTAGATAAATCACCATTTGGTTGAATCCAAATTATGTTGGGAGGTTAACTAATTTTAGCTAGGTAGGTAACCAAAAAATAATAACAATTTTCATAACCTACATTAAATATTCCCGCTGCTAGAGAGAAGAGAAAATGGAAGCAGCATGCAAAATGTTGGGACCATTTCAAATTGGTT